CGTATTCGTCAGTGCTGATGAGCTGCTAATGAGAACTCCTGGTATAAACTACCATAGGAAAATGAAAAAGAAGAGCAGGCAAACCACCTGACTGTGTGCTTACTATAAGCAGTTTCACATGTAGCAAGAGAAGTATTTTCCGTATAGGTTAAATATATAATTTAGCATGTGTATGTTCAGAAAAGATTAATTAAAGTTGAAGAGGTGCAGAGGGTTGATGTGATTGGGAGAAGGGGCATTTATTTTCTGAAAAGCTAAGCTCTTTCTGACTTCTGTCTAGCCTTTCAAAACACAGTTTGAGAAGGGATAGAGTTGCTGCCTATAAATACATCAGGGAATAAGTTCTACCAAAAGGGAAACCTTCACATAGGAACAAATAAATACATTTTAATGGAAAAAATCAAAGAATATTCATAAACACTGAGATTTTATAATAAGCTCAAGGAAGTACAGGGCAGGAGGAGGACCACTGCTTTCCACATATAGCTTGATCAAGTTGTGAGGGAGGCTATGTAGTTGCTTTTTAACAAAGAGTGATCAGATTCAGTCCCCAGGCAAGCGCTCTCAGTCCTAATTTGCACATAGCTATAGGTAAAATCTTGTTATGTTTGCTGTAATTAAAAAGATTGACTTATTCACTGCTTGAGAGAGATCGTGGCGCAGCTCAGTGCTCTTGGAAGTGTTTGCCAACTGCCAGTCTCCACATTTTATTCCTGCTGGAACAACACTATAGCTGATGTTTGTCAGCAGCTGCTGGGAGGTTGCTTGCCTACCTGTAACAGACTGACACAGGGTTCCAGAGGATCCTCTGTAGACCTTGCCTGAAGTCAGCCTTTCTAGTTTCCAGAAGTTTTGTTATTTTGAAACTCATATTTGGAAGCAAATCTCTTAAAATTAAAATAAATTTCAGTTTCTTTTTAGTCAAGGTTTTGGGTTGGGGTTTTTTAGTGTTTTGGGGTTTTGTTGTTTTGTTTTTTTTTTTTACCAACAGGTAACAATGGATGTGTAAATTTTATACATTATAATTGCATCTAGAAACACAAAAACGTGTATTTTAAAACCATCCCTACTAGAGCTGCTAGAATTCATAGCTCCAAAGCAGCTGCCATACCACAGGGATGGCTGTGGTCCAGGAGCTCCCGGGCCAATGGGCTCCTCTGGCTACCTGCTTCCTACAGTTTGGTTACAGAGAAGAGCAGACCAGCATCTGGCCAGATTGGGTTTAGAGCAATTCTAACCAAATCTCAGTAATGAAATACAAACTGCAGGTGCCGGTGTCTGGGATTCACCTCGGTGAATGGCATAGATCAGCCTTGTTTCATTTGGAAGTCATCCAGGGAACTTCTAAATCGTGAATAGGCACTACAACAGCGCTGACAAACTAGGGCCTGCTGCTGTTACATTAAAAGTAACAGACAATAGCCCGCCAAAGAGCTCAGGAATTCATGAGTATATCCCGTGGGAAAGGATTACTGGTACAAATTTGAATCAGGCCCAGAGTCCCAAAGTTCTTCTAGACGTCCAAGCCTTTCCTTAGCATGAGTTAATTTTCTTGGGAATGACGTCTTTTTCCTGAGAATAAACCTTTTTACAAGCATTTAGAGGTCATCCCTCCCCACAGCACTGGAGCTAAAACAAGACCAGCCAGTGTTTCCAGAAGTACATCTACTCTAGCTCAGCCCAGTGCATCGTGTGCTGCTGAGGATCGAGAAGCTCCCTGGTGCGTCGGTGCTTTGTGCCTCAGGCTGGATCTGTGCTGAGCTGAGCAGAGGTTTGATGCTATGCATTTCAAGATACCTCATAGCAAAGAAGGACACAGAGCTGGGCTGCTTACAGGGGCCTGAATCCAGCTGACCAGATCTCCTCTGACCTAAGTCTACTCTAGAAGCCTGGGGGACAACTTCTGGTGAGGGATATTACATTGCTGTGAACCTTGTACAGGAGGACAAATGCTGCGCTCTTCCACTTGGTCCCCAAGGCTTGTGGGATGGGGCTGTGATCCACAACCCCTGGCGTTCCCAGAGGGCACACCCAGACAAAGTGCCCTGGTGATGGTGGAGTCATCTTTCATTCTAACAGTGTCCCCAGTGGCCAAGTATCATCTCTACAAAAAAGCTGACAAAGTATAAGAGACCATAGGTGGAAAGAAGACACGTGTGATCACAGCTTCGGTGATATGATACACTCTGTCTCAAAGAGCAATGAAGAGGGAGGACAATGAAACCTAAGAAAGACAGGGCAGCAAAGGTGATGGCTCCACAATTACTCCATTTGCGCAGAGTTGCAAGGTAATCTCTCTGGGGACGCAAACAGAAGGGATATACTCAGGTGGGAGGTGGGAACCACGTGGGGCTTGTCCTGAAAAAGGGGTAGACTGAGCCTGTCCTTCCTCTGCCATATCCAGCTGCCTTCTTCTTTTCACTCAGGATAAAAACCATTAATAAGATAAACCACAGGAACATGAGAAGGAAGGAGCATTGGAATTGTGTCTACTGTCTGTTTTTACCTCACAGTCCTGTTTCCTTGAGCTTGATAGATTAATGTCTTCTTGTCTGATGGTTCATTTTATCTGGGTTTGGAAGGAACGAGGTGAATCAGGATAAAGTCAGGAGTACATTGATCCTACCCGCAGGTCACCACCGGAGACAGGGCTATTCAGAGAGGCCACGTGCGAGGGAACGTCTCTGACATAGCGGCAGGCAGGAGCCCATGATGCGAGATTGCCAAGGGTCAGCAGCTTGTGTTCCCAGCTGCCAGCTTTTCGGGGGTTGTTTCTTCTGCTCAGCACAAAATCCAACCCCAGCCCCAGCAGGATCTTCTGTACCACTTGACAGGTCTTGAGCCCTCTTGCAGTGATGGCAATTCTGTGGATGCAGACGTATCCACATGGGCTATGCTGAACACATTCATAAAGGAAGGTGCTGGGATGACCAGTGATTTGGGCTGGGAAACAGCTGGGCAAACTCGTTTAGCAGAGATGTGGGGCCCATGGGGCATGGCACAGAGCTGTGATTCTGGCAGTGCCACAGAGCAAGGTGTCCATTAACCTGTCTGATACCTTCTTGTGTGTGCACCAATTGCACATTTGGGAAAAGGAGTTCCCCCATTCCTTTCTGCATCACATGAAAAATTATTTTGCTGGTCGGGATCAAATTTGCCGCTTAATGATTTCGATTGATGGTGCTGTAAAATCCGCTATTCTGAAAGAGTAAGTCCTTGTTCCCTGCTCCCCAATCCTGTACAAGCCAGGATGCTACGGGCACAGACTTCACTTCACAAGGCTGGGCAGCCATGCCTGCTTTGCTCCTTCCTTGCATGGAAACCACCCCTGCCCCCAAACAGCGCTGGGGCCCCGTGCGTGCTGTTTCTGATTCTGACCCTTTTGTGATGGGAGAAACAAAACCATGAGCAATAACTGAGAGGAGGTTTCACCCAACATTTATACAACAGCAGAACTAGGGGGGTTTGTTTTGGTTTTTGTTTCTTTCTTGATAATTCCTGATGCTTACTTCACTGCTTTCTTGGCAAGCAGTGAGCTGGCATCACTACAACTCTCTGATCTCTTCTGGGAGTTGCATTAGCTAATATAAGTCCACCCTTGTGCCATGCATCCTTGATTACACCACCTATGCATCACTTTGCATCTACCAACATGGACTGCAATCTGCTGTTGATGTGCCCAGTCACTCAGCACCGTTATCGCCCCTTTGAACTCTTCAAGGCAGTTTCAGTCCTTTACTGCCCTCATTTAGTGTTACAGCTGATTCTGTCCCATCACTGCTCATGTGCTTTTTCAGACAATTTATGAAGATGCTGAAAAGCACAAGCACTGGAAAGCACAAGCCCTAGTGCAGCTCCTCAGGAAGGCACCTCTGGTACCTCCGCCCCCCTTAAAAAATGACCTGCCATCCTACCTTTCATTGCCTGTCTGCTTAACCATGGAGACTGGCATCTTATAGCATGAGACGGACTGAGGATATTTGGTGCAGGACCTTGTTCAAAGCTTTTGATCCAGGTACACTATGTACATACGTGCTGCAGCCACATGCTTCCCACCACCTCTGAGGAGCAAACAAAAGGCAAGGCTTCTGCCCAGAGCGGAGCTGTGTCATCCTCTAGACTCAACAGAAAGAAATGCTTTACTTAACTGGACATCACTATGAAGAGGGGACACCCGCTGCTGAGGGGTCCCTCACCCAACACTGAGGAGAGGGGACACCCACCACTGAGGGGTCCATTGCCCACCACTGGGAAGAGGGGACACCTGCTGTTGAGGGGTCCCTCACCCACCATTAAGGAGAGGGGACACTCACGGCTGAGGGGTCCCTCACCCACCATTAAGGAGAGGGGACACTCACGGCTGAGGGGTCCTTCACCCACCACTGAGGAGAGGGGACACTCATGGCTGAGGGGTCCCTCACGCGCCACTGGGAAGAGGGGACACCCCTGCAGAGGAGAGGGGACACTCATGGCTGAGGGGTCCCTCACGCGCCACTGGGAAGAGGGGACACCCACCACTGACGGATCTTTCACGCACCATTGAGGAGAGGGGACACCCCTGCTGAGGAGAGGGGACACCCCCGCTGAGGGGTCCCTCACGCACCATTGAGGAGGGGAGACACCCACCGCTGAGGGGTCCTTCACCCAAAACTGAGGAGAGGGGACACCCCCGCTGAGGGGTCCGAGGAGCCGACGGGGCTCCCCCGCCCCCGGCGCAGGGGCCCCGGCCGTGTGCCGGCGGGGGGCTGCCGCGGGGGGGGGTGGGGCCGCCCCGCGGGTGGCGTGGGTCTGTCGCGGGTTCGAGTCCGTCGTCGGGCGGCTCACCTGGCCGGGCCGGGCCGGGCGGCAGACTTTGCCTCCAGCCTCTATAAAAGGTAACGGCGGCGTGAGTCAGAGCCGCCGCCTCCTCCCCGCCCGCTCTCACGTACGCGCCGCCGGGCGGGCGGGCGGGCAGGCACGGAGCCGCCGCCGGCCGTCCCGCACCCGCGCACTTGCTGGAGATGAGCCGCGCCGCGTTGCGGGTCACCCTCCTGCTCCTGGCCGCCCTGGGCCGCCCCGGCGCCGGCAGCGAGCACGACGAAGAGCACGGCGGACAGGACGCCCCGAGCTCCCGGGAGAAAGGTGAGCAGGGGGTCCCCCCGTGCGCGCGGGGCGCCCCGATGCGCGGGGCACCCCGCTGCTGGGTTCGGGGGTCCCCGAGGCACGGGGCACCCCGAGGCACGGTGCGCCCCGGTGCTGGGTTTGGGGTCCCTGGCGCCTGGACACCCTGATGCACGGGGCACCCCAGTACTGAGTTTGGGGTCCCTGATGCACGGCGTGCCCTGATGCATGGGGTTCCCCCCCCCCCCCTTTGCTGGGTTTGGGATCCTTGATGTATGGGGGACCCCAAAGCATGAGGAGCTGGATTTGGGATGCCTAATGCTTTGTGGGCATCCCCAGTGCTGTGGAGCTCTCCCCTTTCTTGGTTTGGGGCGGGTGGGGGGGGAGATGCTGTGCCTCCAGCTGCACCCTCGTTAGGGGCCCAGGTGTATCCCAGTGGGGTGTCCCTGTGGGGCTGTGCCCCCCCACCCCAGCATCGCCCAGCTGCGTGAGCTGCTCCCCGCCAGCACGTCCCTGCCTTTGTCCCTGCTCCCGCCAACTCCTGTGCTGCCCGACCCCTGCCCAGGGGCTGGGGGCCCCCGCCTTGTGCGCAGCCCTCTTCCTCCACTAAGTCCCTTTTGCATCAGATTAGGGGGCTCACAGCTGCTGGTAAGGGGGTAGCCGGGGCTGTGCAGCAAGCAGTGCCTTGCCGGGACCTCCTGAAGTGTCCAGCCCCGGACCCCAGCGTGGCAGGATGGCAGCCGGTCCCCTTTGTCCTGCAGCATGGCCTCTCTGCAGCGGGGTCCGCTGTGCCTGGCCCTGCGTCCACGTTGTCCCCCCACAGCCCAGCGAGGACAGGGTCAGGCCCCGCTGTGGAGTTGGTGGGGGTCTGCCCCATGGCTGACGATGGGAAACGGGGGACGTGCCTGAACTCAGAGCTGGGTGGTATTGTGTGCCCCCCTCCCCCGAGCTGTCTTGCTGGCGGTGTGGGGGCTTTCAGACTTCAGGGTCACTGTTTCGCAGGAGAAGCCCTGGGTCTTTGGTCTTGGTCCCTTTTCTGACTGGGGACTGTGGCGCTGCCAGTGCTTAGCAGGGATTTTGGGGCAGGGCTGTGCATTTTCTCGTGTGGGGCTGAGCACTGCTCTGGGATGTTCCTGTCCCTGGCTATGCTCCTCGTCCCAGCTTTGCCCGTGGGTTTGTTTCCCGGGCTCAGCCTTATAGCATGTCCTTGGTTTTGCCTCTGGTAAGAAGTTGCCCTGACCTGTGCCAGGACAGCTGCTCTGTGGTATGGACCGGCAAGTGTTTGGTGCCAGGAGCTGCTTTTGTTATTGCAATGAATCACATTTCTTACCAGAGCTACTCTTGCCGGGCTGAGCACTGGACAGAGATGGGGACGCAGATGGTCCTTGCCACAGAGATGAAGTAACCCAGGCCACAGGGTGGGAGGGTGTCAGGCGCTCAGCATACCCGTGTGGTGCGCTGGCAGCAAGCGGCTGGCTACCGTGTGGGGTTTGGGATAGGTGGGTGGGGAGATTGGGATGGAGATGGGAAAAGGAGGTGAGGGGTTGGAAGGTGGCAGGGAGACAGGTAGGGAAGAGGCAGCCTGGCCCACGTTGTATTGCTGTTAGAGGCTGAAGATCTGGCTGGAGTCCTGTGAGGGACCAGGTCTCAGCTGGGACCCACCAAGGCTCTCGCCAGGCACTAGAAGCTGCATGTCTCGGCGCCACTGCCAGGCGATGTGCTAGGTCCCTCTTCCTTGAGGCTTCTGCATGAGGTTGGGCTGGTGGCCCCCTCCCACCCTGGGCACTCAGCACAAGCTGAGGGGTTGTCACTGAGGCTTGCCCAGAGACCTGAGTCCTGTGTTACGGGTGTCTTTGGGCAACAGTAACTGCCTTTTCCACTGCAGCCTGTTTTCTCTCTTCTTTCTATTCAGACATGTCGTGCTCTCCGTGTCCTCTTCTTGCTCATTCCCCAATGTCCTTTTCTTCCAGCTGAGCCCATTTCTCTTGCTCAATACCCCTTATTCATCTCATTCCCCAGCTCTAAGCACTGATCTGTACCTGGGTTTTCCCCATTTTTATCCCTTCTGCTGGGATGGCCCTTTCTCTGCAGCACTCTGATTTTTTTCCACTTTCCCCTGGCACTTGGTCGTGCAGTTGGGTTCACAGGGAGCAGGAATGTGCCCTGGAGTAAAGCCTGCCCTATGCCTTCCTCCACCCAAACCCTTGTTCCTCTCCGGGGGAGCTGGCCCAGTCTTGAGCCCCGCAGCCTGAGCACTCCTCCCCCAGGAGCACAAAGAACAATCCCTGCAGCAACCTGTGCTACCAGTGGCAGATTAAAGGCTGATCCCAAAGACTTACAGTGGGTCAGAGTTTATAAACACAAAGGGGCTTTAGTGCAGCCGGGCTTGGGAGGGATCAGTGCCCCCATGGGCAGCGCACAGGGTGGTGTCCTGGGCTGAAAGAACACGGGTGCTGCATGGGGTGTGTGTCTGGATGGAGAATCCAGGGCTGTGCTGGCAGAGGTAGGGCTGGGATCACACAGCCCCCTGTAGAAAGGCTCCTCATGAGGCTTGGCAGAAGGATGCTTGTGTTGTGTGCCCCACTGCCAAGACCCCATGCCTCGGCCGTGCTTGCCACAGACTGGCCTGGTGAGCTGTCTGCGGGCAGCATGAACACGGTGACACAGTCTGGGTACCATGATCAGGTTATTGCTTGCAAGGGACAAGGTGCTTGGATGTGTTTTGTAGACTGGGACCTGGCTCCTGTGGCTGGTCCCTGCTTTGAGACCTGCACTCTGTCCATCTCTGCATGTCCTGGTACCTCCTGGCTCACTGGGCATCGGGAGTAACACCCCGTTTTCCCTCTTCTCTCAGCCATGAGCTCTACTCATCCCCCCACAGCCTGGGACTGATCTGCAAACAGGGATTTCTTCCTTGGGGTCACAGCAAGTGGTCCTGCCCTGCAAACTGGTGTCATCCCACAGGGCTTTGACCGGGATCTGGCCCACGGCTGGGTCCTAGTGGGCAGAGGAGGCTCTGGCAGGATCCCAGTGCTCCCTGTGGCTGAGCACAGGGCATCATGTGCCCAGTTGATAAGAGCACAATGTCTGAGCTAGAAGTGAGTCTGCTGCCCTGCCTGCCACACACAAGCCATTGAACTTCTGCTGGAGTTCAAGGTGAGCAGGCAGCACTGATGGCCGCGTTGCTGCCAGGCAGCATCTGTGCTGCGAATGGCACACGAATTTCAGTGTTGTTAGGTGCCCTGCAGCAAGCAGCTTCAGGCTGCATACCCCCTAAAATGTGGAAAGCTGAAGTTGGATGGGGGCAGACATATAGGGCAGACCCTCTGGTCTCCCTCCTTATTGCCTGGCTCTGCTGAGGGGTGTCTCTTGCTCTGTGCAAAGGATCCCGAGTCCCTCAGCTGTGGGGTACATCCCTATGTCCCCGTGGTGAGGTCTCCTGGGAGCAGCCTGTTGCATCGGTGCCTTTCCTATGTGGGACCACAGTTGTGCTGGCTCCTTACCCCGCCAAAAGCTGCTCCTGCCCTCCCTCCTGGGCTGCAGAACATGCCGAGCAGCACGCTGGTAATGGCAGCGTCTGCCTGAACTCGGCAGGAAAGTGTTGTTGGATGGTGTTGGATGTCAAGGAGGGAAGGGAGCTGGCGCTTGCAGCAGCGCCAGTATCCCAAAATGGGAGGGCCGAGAGGGAGTGAGCAACAGGGGGAGAAAGCACGAAGAAAGGAGGGAGGGAGGGAGTGAAAGGGGGAAACTCGGCTGGATCGCAGGCTGCTGGGGGAAGAGGGGTGGCGTTTAGTGCTGAGCTGGACTAGAGGGGCTCTGCGTGGCTGAGCACGGAGGCTTTCTTGCCTGCAAGGGCAGGCAGCTCCTATTGGTACCCGCTAGGTTTTCCTGCTGGGACCCCTGCAAGGAGTCCTCTTCTTGCATGTTATCTCCCAGCGTGCTCATCACAGTAGCAAGGTTGTTTCCTCCCACGTTTTTGGGAGTGCTTTGCAGTCCCTGCCGGGGCTGTGGGTGCTCATGGTAGGGCAGGGCGTGCAAAGAGCTGCAGCACCCACTGCTGAGGTGCAGCCACATCTGTTGTGGTGAGTGGCAGCAGTTCAGCAGAATGGAGAGCTGGCACCACGCAGCTCTCTGAGGGAGAAGACGTGCTCCGACGGGAGCGTGGGAGGCAGGCTGAAATTATGCAAATCGACATTTGGGCAGGGCAGTGGGTTAATGTTCATGGCTAAGGGCTGCAAGATTGCGAATGCCCCCACGTGGAAGGGACTGGAGTATTGCAGGGCTCCTCCGAGCCACGCTGAGGCTGGGGCAGATGCTGAGAGCCCAGCCCAGCTCCCAGACTAGGCTCGCCTCGATGCTCTCTTGCAGCCTGCCCTTGCGGCACCCCTTGAGGGATGCCTGCCCAACTGGGTGGCCTGTCTGTGCCGTAGCTGCACCCAGATCCACGGGATGGGGAAGCACACTCGGGTGGCTTCAGTGCGTGGATAAGTGCTCGTGGATCCTCTTGGCTCTGATGCCAAGAGATCCCCAGGGAAGTCTGTTGGACGGATCGGAGTGACTCCTGGGTGCAGCTGCAGCCTTCCGGGTGTTCAAAGCTGCGGAGCAGTGTTGGCGGGAGGCTGCGAGGAGGGTCCAGAGCCCCCTTGGCTGAGGGAACAGGCAGGCACAGGGCGATGTGGGAGCCTGGGGTGGGTAGCACGGTGCTGACGCAGCAGGGCAGGTGCCAGCACGGTGCTGTTGCTCAACCTACAATATGATGTTTGAGTTGTTTTCTGTTGAGGCAGAGTCCTGGAGGTGAGCAGAAAGTGGGGTGCCGGGGCGGGCCGTGCCAGTTGAGGCATGTGCAGTGAACCAAGGCACCATGTGCCAACCCCAGGCTGCTGTGCCTCCCCTGCCCCAATGGTGAGTGCCCCTCAGCAGGGCTCCCCATGCTGATAGGCACCTTCGTGCTGCAGGACGGGAATCCTGCCTTGGAAGCAACAACTGTGGCTCTTGTGTGCAAGCCATGACCTCATGCAGATAGTACCAGGTGGGGCAGGAGAGCGGGGACAGGGTGGGGGAAGATATGGGGTGTTTCCAGAGGAGGGTTGGTGTACTCTGGATTTTGGTGCATAATCGGTGTCCGGGAAGTGGGTAAGCTTTGTGTGAGCAAGGTGGGCAGGATGAATCTCAACTTGCTGCAGCACAGCTGGGTGCATCCCAGGGCAGTGCCATGCAAGCAGGCACGGAGAGGGCACTACAGCCTGTCCTGGGGCATATGTGTTCCTGCCTAATGCAGGCAGCCGTGGCTTGGCCAGCCCTCTGCTTGCTGCTCCTTTCTTCATATGCCTTTGGGAGTACCCTGTGCCTGGGCAAGTGACTCCCAAGCATCAGTCCTGAGCATCAGAAGTGCTGCAGAGATGAGTCACCGGCAATGCTGGAGGAAGCCCTGAGGACTGTTCCCATCTCTGCAACTCCTTGTGCCCCTAAGCACCCTCCAGCCCTTCCCAGCCCAGTTTTGCTGTGGCCATCTGCTCTCCAGGGCAGCAGCTGAACCAAAGGTCCCCAGCAGCGCCCATGCCTGGATCCTCACTGAGAGGAGGACAGGATCCTGCTGGGCTTGGGGTCTCCCATAGGACATCTGGGCCTGGGAAAGTGTTCCTCTCTCTTTCTCACCCCTGAACTGGAATTCACTCCTATTAATAGCAAATGGCTGTCAATAGCCGTTGTCAGTGGCAGGGATGGGGACCAGAGCAGCACCTGCTGAGGCCCTCCTGCATCCTGGCCAGGCTGGCAGGCATTTGGCCCTGCCAAGGGACAGAGGTGGTATCGGTGCTGGACTGCACCTGCTAAATGCTCCTCCATGCCCTTTCACCCTGGGGAGCTGATGGAAGCAGTTGTAGATGCTGCCCCTGGCTGCTGGGTGCATGCACTCCTTCGCCCCAAGCCTGTCCCAGCCTGGCACCCTCCCCTCCTGCCCTCGTGGGCCGGCATATGCCAACAGCCTCTCTGCAGTGACAAGCATGCTGGTAAGGAAAAGTCAGAGGAGGACCCTATGAATTGCCTGTTGTGTCAGTCAGGGCAGGGGCATAAAACTTATGGGCCCCATTTCTCTTGACTGGGGCAAATCCAAGCTCCACATCCCTTTGCCTGGAGATGGTTGCATGCAGAAAGGCTGGGGATAGCCAAGGTGTTTGGTCGGGGGCATCTGAGAAGAGGTTCTGGGGCACCTCTGAGGGCAGCTCCAGTGATGTGCCAGGAGCCCGTGCTTTACTGGCATCTCTGGAGGAGAGTGATGGTGTGAAGGCCAGTGTGTGGAGCGCTGTCATGCCCTCAGGACCTGCGCCAGGAGGGCTTTGCTCCCTCTAGATTTACACACTGGGGACATCCCCAGCCGTGGGAGGCTCAGGGCACACCAGGGCACATCCTGCCCTGCCATGGCCACTGTGTGCCCCTTGGGTGACATGGGATGTGCAGAGGTCCTGGCACAGGTTCCCCCATCCTCCCTCCTGCTTTTCCTAGGGAAAGGGTTTGTGCATGGTAGGACCCTTATGGAGCTCTGCAGGGAATTTGCAGGTTGGGTGAGTTGGGACAGGGGGCTGCCAGGATGGAAGCTGGGTATTTGGTCTGGCACATTTTCCTTTGGCAGTCTGCCCCCATGGTAGGGGCACTCACTGATGAGGAAGACAGGTTTTTGGTCCTTGTTTGCTTCCTCTGCTGTGAGTCCCAGGGCTGCTTTCCCTGGTGGGAGGAGGGTGTCTGCGTGGTGCAATGCAGCTCACTGCCCAAATTCCTCATGGTGTGGGAGCTGCTCTTCCCTGCACCACCTCCAGCACTTCAGCGTCGCAGGAGTGCCACCAGGGCAGCCGCTTCCCCGGCTGCTCTTGCTGACAGAGCCTGAGCAGGGAAGCTGCAGACCTGCCTCTTTAAGTGCCTTGTCTTGGGACAGTGGGAGGTTTTGGCTGCTCCCGAGTAGCTGCAAGAGCGCTGGTACAGCTGCTCAGTGACGGAAGCCAGTATTTCTGATTTTTCCATTACAAGGATGGCAACAAAGGATCAAGCCCTGGGGTTTTCCCTCTGGCCGACAACTGCAGGACACCTGGCCCTGCTCAGAAGCAGTGCCTTCTAGGAGCATCCCCCTGGCTGGGGCAGTGGGAGGAGTGGGAAAGTGAAGGCAGGGAGGGCGACTGAAGGCAGTGGGAGCCGAGACCTGCTGCCGGGGCTGGGAGCGCTGCCTGGCAGAGGTGTGTTTGCTGCCAACCTTTCCCTTCCATTCATGTGGGTTTTTTCTCTTTTTTTCAAGGTCCTGGCCACAGTCACTGGAGCTATGAAGGTAAATACCCTGCAGTTACTCCTGCTTTTTTCCTACCACCCGGCAGACCCTGGGCCTGAGCCAGCCGTGGTTAATGATTACAGGGCTCCTGTGCGCGCTCCACAGCTCACCCTTCCCTCCTGCCTGACCCTGATGCTTCAGCGGTGCCCAAACCTGGGCATGGATGGGCTGAAGAGCCGGGGGTTGCTCTGATCTGAGCGGGAAGCGGCCGCTCAGCCAAGGCTTTCCCCAGCCCCTGGGTGGGGGGGGATGACCCTCTGGGCAGGGCTTCTCCCTGAACAGGAGCTCCCCTGATCCTGTGCCAAGCAGGGAAGCAGGCTGGGCTCTCCAGGCTCGACTTGCAGCCCGTGCTGGGACTTTGACCTGCCCAGGGATTAGCTTGTGTCCTCACCTCTGTCCTCTGTCACCCTCCCTCCCCATCCTGCCTGGCCCTGCCCTCCCATCATGGCCTGGGGGGCTTCTCCACAGCATCCACGATGAGCATCACTGCAGCACTAGCACAAACACACCCCTTCCCGCTGCGGTGGTGGGCCAGGCGCCAGCACCACTGCTCTGCTCAGGACTAGGGACTGGCTTGGACCTGCTAATGCCGAGCTCCATCTTTACGGGGGTCCTGTGAGGGGCCGGACAGGGGATGAGTCTGGGTTTGCACTGGCCCAAGACGTGTTGGAATCAGCCCCCTGCAGTGCAAGGGGAGGTTTCTGGGGCATCAGCCATGCTTATCCCAGCTATGGCACTGGGGAGAGGTGGCAGTTCAAGCACCCACCCCAGCCACGTGAGCTGGCCCTTTGCAGGGCTGTACCAGTGCAGTTAACTGGTAGGAATCTGTCAGACCTGTGGCTGTGGGCTCATGTGATCCCATCAGCACTGCAGTACCTCGCTCGAGTAGCAGCACGGGCAAAGTGGTGGGTCGATACCTGCCAGAGGCCAGGCCATGCAAGGCAGCAAGCGTGTGATGAGCTGCAGAGCAGCAGCTCTCTGGCTTGCCAAGTCCACTTGTAAATGATCTTCTCGCGCTCTTCCCAAACACCCCAAAAATAGACTTTCCTGGCAGCTCACCACACTCTGAGACCTTTCCTGATACAGCTGCATGCAGTCACATGGTGGCACAGAGCTGCTCCCAAGCTAAGTTGATGGAAATTAGCCTTACATGCTTGGCTTCTTCCCTGGCCAGTGCCTGTCCTCTTCCCCACCACCACCCACCATACCAAAATTCCATTGTGGTAGGCTCCTTGCCTGGATGGTCTCACTGGCTCTCCCTCCCTTCCTCCTCATACCAGACCGGGAGCACTGGGGTGTGGACTACCCAGACTGCGCGGGCACCATGCAGTCGCCCATCAACATTGACACAGCCAAGACCATCTTCAGCCCCCAGCTGCGGCCGATCCAGCTCTCTGGATACAGCCTGCCTGCCAATGAGAAGCTCAGGCTGAGGAACAATGGGCACACAGGTGGGTGCAAAGGCATGGACAGAGGCTGGAGCATAAGCAGAGCCCGCCCAGCATCTCCTGGCAGGACCAGGCTTCTCTGATAACTCTTCTTCTGTGCTCTGGGAAGGGGATTCTCTTGCAGCTGCAGTCATGTTGCCTTCAAGGCCAAATGGGAAGCATCGAGCTGTTGAGCCTTTACAGGTCCATGTACTTTCCTGGCTGGAGGGGAGAAACCAGGAGATGGAGAACTTGCCACTCACTGCCTTTAGGAGCTGGCTCCAGGAATTTGTTAAAATCCACATTTCCTTTAAAAATGTGCCCCTGGTATTTCTGATGCAGGTTTGCAGCCACTGGTTCCTTCCCTGCATTTCACTTCCAAAGTACTAGTCAGTCTCTGATGTGACTTAGCTTTTACGGTACCTACCTGTCAGTCTTTTAGGACACAACATTGGCCGGCTTCTTTAAGTCTGTGCTTCAGGATGCCATCTCAAGACCTTAAGAAATGTTTATAGGTCTTTTGTTTCCCTTCTCCAATTTTAGAATGTTTTTTGGAAAGTCTGGACACAACTTATTCACATTATTTTAGTATTGGTCTCACCATGCCAGATATGGAGGAAAAACACATCTCCTTCCCGCTCACCACCCCACAGCTGGGGATGGTGGGTCCTGGTTACTACCAGCTTTTTCTGGGAGCAAGCCAAGTGTTTTGTGCGCATTGGTGTCTTCTAGTCCCTGAGCTAAGAAAAGGTGGTGGAGAAAGGGACTTAAAAATTCGCTGACAGTGTGATAAGGCACCCCCTTGCCCTGATAGCTAGCGAGATGGAGCTGACTTGTGTATACAGCAAACTCAACAGGTCGGACTCGCTGTGCATGGTCAGATCACCTGTGTGGTGCATGCACAGAGCTTTGCATTATGGCCTCCTGCCCTAGCGTGCCTGTAGAGTTAAACTAGTTGAGCTCAGTAGTTGCTATTTTAGACACCCTGGCATCTGGTGTTGCCTGGTGTTTAGAAAAACAGTCAGAGCATTTTCATTGGGGTGGGTGGGGGAAGTAGTTTCTCACATGCTTATAAGATGCCTTTTTTTATTCTGGCAACTACCGGTCTGCTTTATGAAAAGCCATAAATAAATAAAGTTGCAAGTCCAGTAAGATATTTGTACAGTTACTCTTTTTTGTAATATAAAGTGTATACACTGTATAAGTTTTTTCAAGGGCCTGAAAATGACTCAGGTAGCTAGTAGGAGGAATTCAATGATTTAGATATACAAAAGAAATGTAAAAGCACATAAATTCCCATGGAGGGAGCAGTCTGCCACTGCCTCTATTTGAGTTTTGTATCTCTGAACCCAGTGGCAGGGAACACAGGAGAGGACAAATGACTCATCACAGCCCTGTTATGCAGTTAATCCCGAATCTGTGCCCTAGCTCTGTGGTGTGACTAAGGGACACTTCACTTATAAAGAAGGAGGAAGGAAAAGAGTTGATATTAAAAATGAGGAAAAGGTGCTTAGAAGGATAGGACAGGCTTTCTCAGAGTCCAGGAATGCTCCCGATATTTTTGCCATGTGTCCAGGTAACTCAGCTTTTAGATTTGCCACACTGCTGCGTGAGTCCAAGATAGCTGGCTAAACCACATTAAAGTAAAAGGCAAAACCAAGTACGTATTTACTGTACCCAGAGAGGCTGCTTCTTTGAAAGGTTCCAGCTCGCCAAGCGCTGCAGCTCTCTCTGTCCAACTGCCCTGCTCTTGTAGGTATTCACCACTCTGCCAATATCCTTCTCCGTGACTTTTGTCCACGATCTCTTTATATTATTCTCACTTAATGAATAATTTGTTGGATAACATTCAGCTTGGAGCTGGCCCCTGGGAATCTCTGCAGAGGGGCTCTTCACTTTCCAGCATTTTCGCAGCAGATGTTTTTGAAGCTGATGTATTTACTGGGGTGCCCTACAACCTGAAGTTGAAAGTTGAACCCTGCCGCATTAGCACAGCTCTGGGTATTGACTTGCCCATAGCCTTATGAAAGATGGAAAGCAAAGTTTGTCTGTTGTGACCTACTTCCACAAGCCCAGGTTGACTCTTTGCCTTGGGACATCTCTGCATACCTGTGGGACGGACTGGTCTTTGTGTTTCACTGACCGACCTCTTCTGTGTGCCTCTGCAGTTCTCCTCGAGCTGCCCGAGTCACTGGCCATCACTGGCGGCTATGCCCAGCAGTATCGAGCCGTGCAGCTGCACCTGCACTGGGGATCCCCATCAGGACCTGGCTCGGAGCACACCGTCAATGGGCACCGCTTTGCGGCAGAGGTAAGGAGCCCTCGTGGCAGTGGATGCATCCTCTCCTCTACTGCTGCTGGGCAGGGAAATTGCTGGAGTGCTGTCTTGCTCCTAGCCCATGGACCTGGTTGTCACTGGATGAATGCTGTAACCCCTGGCCAGGATCCCTGCTCCCTGGGCAGCTCTGCAGCAGCAGAGCTCAATGCAGGAGGCCAAGCTTTGGTACTGAGCCAGACTCACACTGCAGCCTGCAGTGCAGAGATGAAGAGGAGACCACCCTCCGGGACGCTCTGCCCACAGGGGGACTGGGCTGGCCGCGCCTGAGCGGTGCAGCCTGTCCCCACACTGCAGCCTGGTCCTGGGCTGATGGAGCAGGAGCTGAAGCGGTTCCTGGACTGGGGGAGCCAGGTCCCTGGGCAGCTGTGAGCAGCCTGCTTTAGAAGCTGCAGGGACTGTTTACTCTGTACACACTGTCCTCCTGCTCTGCCAGCTCCCATCTGGTTTTATCCCTCCTTCTCTAGTGGCTGTCCTCAAACTGAGCCTGGCTCTGCAGTACGACCCCCTGGTATCTAGGGCAGAGTGCTGCTTTGCTGTCCCTGACCAGGGAAGTTCCCGTGGGCAGACCTTCACACTTGCTGCTGTACAGCAGCATATTTTCTTGGTCCCACCAGCATATGCCCCTCCTAGGAGGGGTGCTTGTCATGGGTGCATGTCTCTCCTGGCCATTGCTCCAGCACGCTGGTGAGCACCTCCCGGAGGTGCCCATTCTGCATCGGGATTGCATGTTTCCCTTCCAGATCCACGTCGTCCACTACAACACCAAGTATGACAGCTTTAAGGAGGCAATGGTCCATCCAGATGGCCTGGCCGTATTGGGAGCCTTCCTGGAGGTAAGTCCCATAGATTGGCCCTGGCCAAGAAGGGATAGAAGCAGGGGGAGGGTGGGACTGGGGTGGGCAAGAGTCCGGCAGTTTTGGGGACTGGCAAAGGTGCAAATGCTCCTGGGGAGAAGGGGAGAGAGAGGGCAGTCCAGAGGGCAGAGCAGCCCTGGTAGGAGAAAGGAGTCACCAGGATAGGGTGTCTCTCAGAGAGAGCGATACCTCCCTGCTGGCATTGCCATCACAGGCTGGTCTCCATTTGGCCCCTGTCTTCTTTGTCATTACTGTGGGGTCTCTGTATTGCAGGTCGGGCCAAGGGAGAACCCTTACTATCAGGAAATACTTGAGCATCTGTACAAAATCCAAAGAGAAGGTAAGGTCCTGTCCCACCTAGTAGTTGTCTCAGGTGCTGCAGCCCAGCAGAGAAACCTGCTGCACAGCAGAGAGAGGTTGCAGCAGGCATTTGCTGTATGTATGCGAGAAGGGAATCATTGCACAGCTCGCACAGAACAGCTCTCCAAGGTGCCCTCTGCTCGCACGTGCTTTCCCTTGCCTGCAGGGCAAACCCACTGCTCTTTCTCCAGTGCACCAGTAGCAGCAGTGCCTGGCTGCCCATGATCTCTGTGCTGGTCCTGCCTGTTGTCCTCCAAGGGGTTGCTCCAGTCTCACTCCCATGGTGCTTCTTCTCCCAGGTGAGGAAGTCTTGGTGCCTGGATTCAACATTGCGGGTCTGCTGCCTGCCAACCTGAAACTGTACTTCCACTACAATGGCTCTCTGACCACCCCTCCCTGCTACCAGACGGTGAAGTGGACAGTCTTCAACCAGACCATGCTGCTCTCTCCTGACCAGGTCCGTTAGGGCTTGCCCAGCGTCTCCCTGCAAGCGTGCACCATCCGTGCTGGTCCCCTGGGGCTCACCTGGCTCCCAAAGGCAGGATGCATCCCACTCTGCTCATGTTATTCTCCTTCCAGATGTCAACGCTGGTGATGAGCCTGAGAAATGACGACAGCAAACCTCTGCAGAACAATTACCGGATGATGCAGGACCTGCACAGGCGACGGGTGCTGTCAAGTTTCCAGACCACCCTCTTTTCGGTGAAGCAGCTGCCTCCTGGTAAGAAGTGTGTGAGCGTGCTCAGGCTGCACCCAGCTGCAGGGATGCAGAGACGGGGCAAGGAGCAGGAGTCAAGGCTTTGCATCGCTTGCTTACAGAAATGCAGTATTTGCATGGGTTAGCCCTGCCTGGCAGGTGACTTGCAGCAGCACTAGTCTCAGGGTCCTGCTCTCCCCCATTTCTGCACTTCTCTCACCCTGCCTGGGGAAGATCCGTTTCTAGGAAATATTCTATCCTTGGTCTTGCAGAAATAACAGTAGCAGGACTAGGGGATGTATGGTCAAGGGCAAACAGCCAGGTCCTAGCATCCCAGCTAGCTTCTTCATCCCTAGATGCAATAGCTAAATTCAGTAGGAGCTGCAGAGGTACAGCCTTGCAGCGAGCACCCCACCACCAAACCCTGCGGGAAGGGCAGTGCAGGGGACCCCTCCAGAAGCCTGTGCTCTGCCAGTGGGGCCACGCAGCCATCCTGGCCTGGCATATGGTCCCCTGCCTGAGGCATCCCTGTCTGCCCGTCCTCAGTTTGTCCTCAAAGGCCTTTCTTGCACGGGTGGTTTCCAGCGATGAGTAGAAATTCCTGTTAATCCTCAGGTGTGACTATCGCTCTGCATCGCTGAGTTCTTGCCTGTTGCTGCTCTCAGAAGTCGCTGGGGTTTTTCTGTCCAACATCCTGTTCCTTTTCTGTTTTGATGGCATTTCCTACACCTTGTGTCAAGGTGACTAATAGAAACAGCACACAGGCTTGGTCCCAGGCCCTTAGGCAATGCCTCGGAAACCACACACTGCGGTGCAAGGCACTTCCCTTCACCGTCCCACCTGCAGCCAGCTTGCTAACTGTAGGCTTTTAATCACCGTGTCTTCAGCCTGGCTAGCAGTTTCCCATGTGGCACTGCATCAAATGCTTCACTGAATTTAGGAGAGATAAAATCTACCACGTTTTCTTTGTATAGAATATCACTTATCAAAGAACGATATCGGGTTAGGCTGGCATGCTCTATCTTTGGTAAACCTGTTAGATACTTTATCATATTTTCCATTTACCTCCAAGCCTTTCTTTTCCCACTTTCTTGCAGAAGCTGTTCCAAACCCTCCAGCCAATGAGGCTGGGGCGAGGGGGGAGTAGCCCAGCTCACCTGTTTTTTTTCTTTCCTTATTTGCTATTTCTATCCAACCCCCACTTTAACAAAGCCACGAAGCCCTGGTTCCTGGAGTGCCAGGACACTGTCCCAGTACTCCTGGATGAGGTTACCGGTCCCCCACCTTGTGTGCACGGGGTTGTGGGTGTTTTCTCCCCACCTTGGTGCTGATAACAGCCTCCTTTAGCCCTGGGGCCGCTGAGCGCTGAGATGGAGTGCTGTGGGGTCATGTCTCGCTTTGCTTGCAGCTGCACCTCCTGTGCCCACGCTTGTTGATCTTTCCCCAGTCACCCCCAGTTCAGGAGAGCTGTGCTTGTCCCCGGCTGCTGGGCGAAGGCGGTGGCTTCCCTCCAGTGGCTGCGCAGCTGGATACGGCCCACAGATAGTGCCACTCTGTGTGCGATACCCGAGCTGTGTACAGATGATAATGCAGCTGTTTAAAAGCCATGCTGTCATGCCGGGTAAATATTTGCCCAGCACAGCTCCCGCCCAGCATGTAGGGCCACCGAGCCATCCCCATGCAGGGTGCCCTGCCAGCAACAGCCAGCTCCTGGGGAGCTGCTCACCATCTCACCGCAGTCCCCGTGGTTGTTGCCTGCTGGGCTCACCCTGTGCCCCTCTCCGGGGTCTCCTGCGGGATTTGGTGCAGTCATGGGGTGCTGCAGTGCTCGGCACCCTGCTTGCCTGCTTCCCAGGCGGCAGCAACAGCAACAGGGGTTTCAGGCTGGCCTCAGTGAGGCTTTTGTGCAGGCTGTGGTTCAGGGATCCTTTTTTTTCCCCCCCTTCTCTCAGTGCTTCTGGCAGGGTGTCAGGATTAGGCTTCCTGCAGCAAGATGCTGTAAGCTGCTGGGGATCTGGCAGGCAGCTCTCCTCTGCCTGCTCACGGGTGATGGGGAGTCTTGCAAGCAGCCCTGCTTTGGCCGTGCAGCCTGAAGCCCTGCAGGCTTGACACTTCTCTCCCCAAACACCTCAGGCAGCCTCCTGACTGCGTTGTCTCTCTTCCAGGTAGCGACAGCTCAGCAACAACAGGTAGGTGAAAGGGCTGGCCTGAAGGAGGGGAAGGTGGCCGGGGGGTGTACCCGTCTGGGAAGGGGGGACATGGCAGCCTTGTGCTGAGCTGGCAGGGACCCATGGTGGGTTTGCAGGGCTACCCTAGTGTCTATGCAGCTGGGTCCCATCATCTTTGTCTTCTTTGCAGAAGGACAATCCAGCTCTTCATTTCATGCAGGTAAGTGTGCTCAGCAGAGGCTGCTGCTTTCGTGTCCCCTCTACCTTCAGGCTACTGGCCTGCTCCAGCCTTGCCCTGTCTCCCTCGTCCAGTAGCCGCAGGGGGGACCATCCCCAGTGTAACGTGCTTGTGCTTGGCTTGCAGGCGACGTGCTGGCTGTGCTCTTTGGGGTGCTCTTTGCCGTCACAGCACTGGCCTTCCTGCTGTACATCTACAAGCACCGCAGCCAAAATGCACGGTGAGTGATGGGGAGCTGCAGGAGGAGGGGGCCCAGGGGTAGCACAGGCCTCGGACATGAGAAGTGGGCGCTGAGGGTGGTCTCACGGGCAGCCAGATGGGTAAGCAGGGCCCCCCCGCCTGCTCTAACAGTCCTCCCCTTCCTCCCCTACCAGGCTGGACTCACCAACCAAATCCAAGGTCATCTACACAGCAGCCACCACAGAGAACACTGCGTGAGCCCTGCGCCTCTGCAGCAGTCCCAGCCCTGCCAGTTCAGCCTGCCACCCCACTTCCCCTCACTCCCACCTGCAGAGAGGGCCAGTGCTCCAGCATCCCTCAGCTGCACAGGCTGCCCACACAGACTGTTTGCCTGGGGCAGCATCTGGCCCCAGCAGATACTTTTGTTATAAAAAAAGGTAAAAACGTATTAAAAAAAAAAAAAAGTAAAAGCCTCCCATGGTGCCAGCCCTTTCTGCTGTCCTTGTGCAAAGCTGTGGGGCAGGAAAGGGCACCGGTGGAGCTGGACCCACAGCAGAGAGAGGTGCGCAGAAGACAGCATCGGCCTCCATGCCCCGGGCACAGCTCCAGAGCAAGCAGCGCAGGGCTCCTTGCACACCCCAGCCCTGCCCTCCATCACTCTGGGACTTCTTCCTCCTCTTATTTGTGCAAAGCATTGGAACAACATAGCTGCAGCTTGCTAGGGCTGGAAAAGGCAGAGCTGAAGGTGGCAGAGCCACCGCTTCCTTGCTGGCCAGTCCCCACCCAGCTCCCCTCCACCTCTACCGTAGCTGGAGTGATCCTAGATCCATGGCTGCCTCCTGCCTTTCCTGGTGGCTGCAGTGCAGCTGGAGGAAAGCCCCAGGGTGCTCTATGGCCATGCCAAAACCCAAGACAAACGGGCCAGGTCTGGGACAGGGGAGGAACCCGCAGGTTTCCAGCTCAGCAGCCTCCACCCCAAAGCAATAAAACTAGAGCCCAGTCTGTTAGGATGGACAGAGAAAGAGCAAGACCTCCAGGCAACTGGGGTCTGCAACAGCTAGACACCCCCCCCCCCCACCAAGTCACACCAGCACAAGCCACTGCCACTACTGCTGCAGAGTGCTTGCACCCTCCTCATGAGAGCAGTGCTGCTGATCGCACACAGCCCTGCTTGTCTGTTATATTTTTTATTGGTATAAAAGCCCACGGTGGATAAAACGGCCTTCTCAGCCCTGAGCCCGATGGCAGTTTCTCCATCACAGCCCTGTGGCACAGCATCAGGGCTGGTGCCCCCCTGAAAATCCCTCTCCAAGTGCAGGAGAGGGCAATGATCCAAGAGAATGGCCCCTTGAACCCCCTTCCCAAGCTGTGCCGGCACCAGCTGCGGGGCTGCATCTCCTCCAGAGCTCTCCACCTCCCTCCATGTCCGCTGGGCCCTTTGGGTACCATCTTTTCCCTGTCCTGGGTCCTGTCAGTCCCCTCGGGTCCCCCAGCACCATCCTCCCTGCACCAGGATGCTGGCTCACTGCAGCGACTGCAGTCCAGCACTGGGGCCACAGCTCCCAGGGCAGCAAGGCTGGGCAACGAGGCGGAGAAAGTAGCACCACAGCAGTCAGCCCCGACCCTGAGCACAGCAGCACTTTGCAAAGCTGCTTCCTCCACCCTGTGGTGAGGAGGCAATGCGAGCCCCCGCCTGGCACAGGGGATGACATATCTTCTGCAGCAGGGGGAGAAGCAATGGGTTTCTTTGGGCTCAGGCCTCCGGCAGTCCAAGATAGCATCCTTCCCAGGCAGGCTAACTGGAGCTCAGCTCATGACAGGGTCAGCAAAGCCAGGTCCCCCAAAACTGAGCTGTTCTCCAGGGGCTCCCAAAGGGGCGTTGGAGCAAGCCAGCCCCAGCCACATGGGTTGGCTGGCTGCCACAGCTGGACCCCAGCGCCTGCCCCACCAGGACTGGCCAGGGTCCTCCAGTCCAGGAGAAAAGATATTGCAGAGAAGTTGACAGCCACGCTTGCTGCCAGTATGGAGGAGAGGGCTGGGGTGGCTGGGGACAGGAACATCCTGCAGGGTCTCAGGATCGCGGCTGGGGGCTGGCTCCACTCCGTAGACCTGCGGGCACCAAGAGGAAAGGAGGTAGTTTTCAGACTCCTTACCCCATCCACTTCCCCCAGGAGAGGCAACAACCAGACCACAACCCCAAAACCGAGCTTCTCCTCCAGTCTGGCAGCCAAGGGGATGATGAACTTGTTCCAGCCCTGGGGACACCCTCTCCCCATTCCAGCGCTGGTCCTGGTACCCAGAGGGACCCACAGCGTCCCCCATTCCCTTTATGGAACAGGACTTACAGAGCAGGAAGCGCCACAGGTTCTGGGCAGATCCCCCTGAGAGCAGGTAAGCCCAGGCAGCGGCAGCAGCCATCAGCAGGTAGGAGGGCACTAGGCTGCCCACGTACAGGGGGTTGCAAAACGTCTGGAGAGAGAGTGGGGAGAGGAGAGGGATGAGCAGGCAGGAGAGGACAGGGACAGGATGGGTGGCAGCACCACCACCTCAATGAGCAGAACAGGACAGGGGACACCAGCTCCAGGATTTGGTTTGTGAAGGACCAGCTGCAAGTCCCCCAAACGCAACCACTCTGCTAGTGCCAAAGGCTGTTCCCCCCCTGACACGGGGACCAGTATGCACCACAGCCATCCCCGAATATAGGTCCCTGCACGGAGCTCTGCTCCCAGCTACTCACCGAGCCGGAAACAGCGAGGTGCATGACGACAACCGCCATGATCTCCCACCAGCGCCGATGCTCACATCCATGGAAGAACAGGATCCCCCAGAAGGTGTGAAGGAAAATCAGCACCATGGTCATAAAAGCTGCAGGGAGTGGCAGAGGGGTGTCACCAAGGAACCACCTGCCCTGACCTGGCCTGCAGGCTCACAGAGGGATGGAGAGGAGCTGGGAAAGGGGAGCAGGGTCACTGCTGGGCCAGACTGGGAGGTGCTGGTGCAGACCCCAAGTGTGGGAGGGATGGAGGAGAGGAACAGGGAGGGTCACGGGGGACAGAAAGAAGGGTTGGCACAGAGAGAGGTGACAGGGGACTGCAAGGGGCCTAGATGGGTAGAGGGTGCAGCATGGAGGGGATAGCATGGAGGGGAGACTCCAGCCGCCCATTTGCCACCTCTGTGGTGGGGCAGAGACATGAGCGAAGGGTGCTGGTCACTCACCTGAGGTCAGGAAGTAGAGCTGCGAGTCCCCATGGATGCCCACAATGCCGGGCCCTAATGCGTCTGCCAGGAGGTTGATCATGGAGAAGGCGCCACTCATGAGGCCAAAGCCCACGCCAGCCACTGCCGGGACAGGGACACCGTCAGGTCCTGAGCCTCCCAGGGCCACCCCAGGCATCTCCCAGCCAGCTTTGACGTGAGAAACCTCCCTTTCCCCCTGCCCGGGCTTTCCCTTGGCCCCTTAGTTGGGGTGCCCCGCTCTGTGCAGTACTCACCATATGCCATTTGCTGGATGGAAATGGGGGAGCAGCCGTCCTCGCTGAGGGCCACCAGCCCCTCGATGGCCTTCCTGTGGGGTGAGAGCATGCTGGAACCTGGCACAGCCTGACCACCTCCTGAGGCATGGTGCAGCACCAGGATGGAGCAGATGGGACTGGGGTCTCACTCTGCACCATCCCACCCTCCTGGTAACCTCCGCATCACCGAGCTGCAACACCCACCATGGAGAGCATCCGCATGACCACCCTGAACCACCAGACAAACGACGCATGTGAAAACCATGTGAAACCACATCAGAAAGATTTTCCTCAGAGGAATGTGAGTGCCAGCCAGCCCCGCAGAGCAGGGCTAGGGTGAGCAGAACATCGGGTGCAAAGCAAGCAGCACCCCCGCGTGGAAAACATCCCCAGTGCAGGCGTGGGAGGTGCATGCCAGGAGGGTGTACCTGATCTCCGCATTCATACTCTTAGAAGACGCTGAAAAAAAACGGAGGGTGTGCAGAAAGAGCTGAAAGAGCTAGAAAAATTCTGTGGGGCAGAAACTGGGAGAGTCGGGCTCCATAATTTTTAGCAGCTAGAGGTATGGCAGGTGAGGAGGACACCAGACGGCTCCTCAACCCGGGGAGGGCAGCAACGCTTGCAACCAGAGATCCGCAGAGCAAAAGAAATGTGGTGGTTTGTGTTAGAGGCTGCTCCGCGGAGCTCTGCTACCCTCTGCCTGCCCACCTCCGGCAGTGCCCTGCGGCAGCGAGTGGTGCGAGCCTGCACACCCAGCCCCGGCCAGCCTTCCCCCAGACCCTCGCCAAAGACCAAGCCACCTGACGCCAGCATTGCTTCCCCTCGTCTGCCTGCCCAGCCCCAGCACAGCGTCCATCTGTCCGAACGCAGGACAAGGTGCAGCATGTGCTTGCCCGGCAGGCAGCATAAGCCCCCACGCTCCGGGCCAGCGGCACCAGGGAGGCCAGGAGCTGCTGAGGCTGCACCAAGACTTTGCCCTGGGCTGGCCAGGGCACTGAAGACAGGGCTAGTGGCAATGTGCCACCCCACAGAGCCCCAAAACCACCTTCAGGCTGTGCCTGCTCACATAAAACCGTCCCTAAGAAAGGAACAAGACTTGCCAGGAGGCGAGGGCAGATCCCAAACCCTCGTCTGCCCACCCCATGGCAAAGTGGGCATTTCCCAGTGCCTGGTGTTCCCCCCCGCCGGCATCCCCCCAAGCTGCGGGAGCACTGCTGGTGATAGTCATGAGGGCAGAGAGGATGTAACATGTTCTGCAGCAGCCCAAACCCACAGCCTACCTGTCCTGAATTCAGGGAGATGCTACCAGCCACCTCAGCCCTGAGTCCTCCAGACCTTAGGGCTGCTCTGCTCCACCACCCTGAGACCCACTTGAGGTCAACATATCGACACAGGTACCATTCACACACTCTGAGCAAGGACTGAGGTGGCTTGGTGCCACACTTGGCATCCCCCCACCCTAGGAGCTCCCAGTCAGAATCTGGCACCTACCACAGCCAGGAGGACCATCCAGTGGTGCTGGAGCAGGGTGGGAGATGCCCTTACCTGAGGAGCTTGTAGTAGAGGAAGCGGAAGGCCTCCTGCAGCAACACAGAGAACATCACCCCAAATATCAAGAGCCCCTTCTGCAATGGCTCATCCTGGGGGTTGCTGGCTTTAACCGCAATAAACCAGATGAGGGAGGAGAGCAGCAGTGACACCAGCCAGAAGAAAGCCCTGCAAGAGAGAAAGTTCCTGCTGGCACCAGTGCTGTGCTGGGACCAGTGCTGGTGCCATGCCTGTGCCCGTTGGCACTACACCTGCACCCCTCTATGTTGGTACTGCCACTGGCAGCTGTGCCCCAGCCTTGCCCACTCTCCTACCAGTACCAGCACTGTTCTGGTACCAGTGCTGGGCAGGTAGTGCCCGTCCTGGTACCGCTGCTGCGCCTGCACTCCTCCTCCGCTGGTAACCAGAACTGGCACCAGTGCCCCAGCTGTGCCCACACCAGCACCAGTACCAGGCTCATATCCACGCCAGTACCAGTTCCAGTACCATATCCTACTGATCCCACAGTGGTACTGGTACCAGTGCGCCACTGATCCCATGCTGTTACCGATACCAGTGTCTTCCCCATCATGCCCACACCATGCGGTGACCACAATGGTACCAGTACAATACCACTACTGGTGCCCCTGTTGTGCAAAGAATGGCACCAGTACAAGTACCAGTACTGGTGCCCCTGTCATGCCCACAATGGTACCACTACAAGTACTTGTACTCCTGCTGTACCTGCAATTGTACCAGTACAAGTAGGCATACTGGTGCCCATGTCACTGTCACGGGGGTATGAGGACCAGGACTAGTGCTCCTGCCATGACCATGAGCACCAGTATGGCTACTGGTGTCCCTAACGTATCCATGGCTGCACCAGTAAGAGAAACAATATTGGTGCCCCTGTCATCCAAGCAACAGCACCACTCTGAGTACTGGTATGGGTGCCCCTGTGGTACCCACAATGGTACTGGTACTGGTCCCCGCATTGTGCCTCTGCCAGTACCAGTCACATCTTTGTGACACCCATGCTGGTAACATGCCCATGTTACCAGCACCGGCACTAGTACCAGCGCTCCTGTCACACCCATACTGGTTAGAGAGCCTCATCATGCCCACATTGGTACCAGCACCCCTGTCATGTCCATACTGGTACCAGGGCTTCATCACACCCATACTGGTACTAACACTGGCACGGGTAGCAGCACCCCTATCATGCCCATGCCAGTACCAGTACTGGAACTGGTAGCAGTGCCCCTGTAATGCCCATACCGGTATAAGCACAGGCACTGGAAGCAGTGCTCCTGTCCCACCCATACTGACAGGAGCGCTCTTTTCAACCCCATACTGGTAACAGTGCCCCTATCATGACCATACTGGTGCCAGCTCTACATCATGCCTATACTGGTACCAGGACCGGCAATGTTACCAGCACCCTGACAGACCCATACTGGTATCAGCACTGGCACTGGTACCAGTGATCCTGTCACACCCATACTGCTACCAGTAGCAACACTGCCACTGTTCCCAGTACTCCTGTCACACCCATACTAGCACCTACACCAGCACTAGTGCCAGTGTTCCTATCATGCCCATACTGGTACCAGCATCAGCACTGGTACCAGCAATCCTTTCACACCCATATCGATACCAGCTTCTGTCATGCTGTTACCAGCACCGGCACTGGTGCCAGCACCCCTGTCACGCCCATGCTGGTACTAGCACTGGCACTGCTACCAGTGCTCCTGTCACACCCATACAGGTACCAGCATCTCATCACACCCACACTGGCTACAGTGCCCCCCTATCACACCCATACCAATACCAGCACCCGCACTGATACCAGCACCCCTGTCACTTCCATACTGGTACCAGCACTGGCACGCCAATACTTGTAGTGGTGCCCCTGTCATGCTGTCATGGCTTAACTCCAGCCAGCCATGAAGCACCACACAGACACTCACTCACTCCCCGCCCATCCAGTGGGATGGGGGGGAGAATCAGAAAAAAAAAAGGTAAAACTCACGGGTTGACATAAGACCAGCTTAATAGAACAGAAAAGAAAATAATAATAATAATAGCAGTAATAAAATGACAATAGTAATAATAATAAAAGGATTGGTATATACAAGTGATGCACAATGCAATTGCTCACCACCTGCTGATCGACACTGTTAGTCCCTCAGTGGCGATTCCCCGAAGCCCCAGTTCCCCCAGTTGATGTACTAGCCATGGTGTCACATGGTATGGAATACCACATTGGCCACTTTGGGTCAGCTGCCCTGGCTGTGTCTCCTCCCAACTTCTTGTGCCCCTCCAGCCTTCTCGCTGGCTGGGCATGAGAAGCTGAAAAATCCTTGACTTAGTGAAACACCACTTCGCAACAACTTAAAACATCAGTGTGTTATCAACATTCTTCACAGACAGAACCCAGAACATAGCACTATACCAGCTAATAGGAAGAAAATTAACTCTATCTCAGCCAAATCCAGGACACAGCTCCATACTGGTGCCAGCGTGTCATCACACCCATACCAGTATCAGTACTTGTGCTGGTAACCATGCCCTGTCACACCTGTACCAGTACCAGCACCGGCACTGGTACCAGTGCCCCTATCACAGCCATACCAGTACCAGCACTGGCACTGATACCAGCACCCTTTTCAGGCCCATACCAGTGCCAGCACAGCCACTGGCACCAGCGTCCCTGTCACACCCGTACTGGTACCAGCATCCCTGTCACACCCATACTGCTACCAATGCCTCATTACACCCATACCGGTACCAGCATGGGCACTGGCTACAGTGCCCCTGTCATCCTGATACCAGTACCAGCAATAGCACTTGTGTGCCTGTCACACCCATACTGGTACCAGCATCTTAGAGTCATAGAATCATTTAGGTTGGAAAAGACCTTCAAGATCATTGAGTCCAACCATCAACCATGCCCACTAAACCATGTCCTGAAGTGCCCCGTCTACTCACTTTTTGAATATCTCCAGGGATAGTGACTCAACCACTTTCCTGGGCAGCCTATTCCAATGTCAGACAACCCTCTCAGTAAAAAAAAAATTTCCTAACATCTAACCTAAATCTCCCTTGCCTCAACTTGAGGCCATTTCCTCTCATCCTATCACTAGTTACTTGACAGAAGATACCGACCCCCACCTCGCTACAACCTCCTTTCAGGCAGTTGTAGAGAGCGATAAGGTCTCCCCTCACCCTCCTCTTCTCCAGACTAAACAGCCCCCGCTCCCTCAGCTGCTCCTCATAACACTCGCTCACTAGACCCTTCACAAACTTGGTTGCCCTTCTCTGGACACGCTCCAGCACCTCCATGTCTTTCCTG